TAAACAACATCTGAAGGGAACCCTGCTTCAAAACCTACACGTGTTGAAGAGAATTAGGTCCAAAAATACAGTGGGTCCAGAAAGTATATATTGCAGCCAATTGCTTAAATCCATCAAATAAATTTTTTCCTCATTAATGCACACAGCACCCTTATTGATAGAAATACTCAGAATTTATTACATTTATGCAGATTTATTAAAAAAGACAAACTGACATGTCACATGGTTCTAAGTATTCAGACTCTTTGCTGTGTATTCATGGTTTTTAGTGGTCAAAGGTTACAATACTAGACTACTGCCTATGTGTATACAAGTACCTTTGTTATTGTTTTTCTTCAAATTATTCTCTTAAATGTTGGTGCTGCTGTAACAAGTGCATCTCCCCACTGTGGGATCACTAAAGTCTATTCTATTCTATTCTATTCTATTCTATTCTAATAAAACCAAGAGTCTTTAGGGTCAAGATTTGGGGATCCTCTCTAGTTCTGTCAGGTTGGATGGTGAACATTGGCGGACAGCCATTTTTAGGTCTCTCTGTTTTGCTCAATTGGGTTAAAGTTCCTTTGACCTCATGATTCTCACCTGCTCTGACCTGCATTGTGAGCTGTAAGGTCTTTTTTAGACAGGTGTGTGGCTTTCCTAATCAAGTCCAACAGTATAATCAATCACAGCTGGACTCCAGCGAAGGTGTAGGACCATCTCAAGGATGATCAGAAGAAACAGAAAGCATCTGGGTTAAATATACGAGTGTCACAGCAAAGGGTCTGAGTACTTGGGACCATGTGATGTTTCAGTTTGTCTTTTTTTTAAACAACTCTAGAGAAATTCCTAAAATTCTGTGTTTTTCTCTCAATATGGGGTGCTGCGTGTACATTAATGAGGAAAAAATATATATTTTTTATTGGTTTTAGCAAAAGGCTGCAAGATAACACAAAGTGAAAAATTGACAGGGTCTGAATCTTCTCCATACCGCCCCCCCCACCCCCCACCCCCCCCATGAACAATCACCTTGCTCATATTGTGTGCATCAGACCTCCATCCAATCACATGCAGGGTTCATACAGGATCCCACTCTGAAAAAGAACAAGAATTCAATGACGTGCGACAAAGTTCGGGTATTCTAAAATATGATGGAGCAGAGGAACACTGTAAGTAGAAGGACGTTGTGTAAAGTCACTGAGCAGCTAAAGACGTTTGTCCCTCTGTACTCCTCAGAACAAAACCAAGGCCATTGTGAATGAATGGTTTCTTTTTATCTACATGTCTTGTTCAGTGCTAGGTGTTTCATTCCTTTGAAAATCAGAAAGAAACTTTTTCTATCTGTCTCGCCCAAGGACACAACAGCAGAGTTCTTTGTCTGGAGCCAGGACCGAACCTGCAACATTCTGATTTCTTGTCAAGCCACTCAACCTCCTGAGCTACTGCTGCCCCAGTAGAAACACTGAGATTATTAAAGGATCCCCCCCCCCCCCCCCCCCAGTGTCAATAGTTTGTTGAACAGCCTTGATTCTGTAGGGATTCTTCTCCATCATCTCAGCACATCTAGACTGACCCGTATCGGTCCACTCTACTTTACAGAACCGTTCAAGTTCAGTCAGCCTGGATGGCGAGCGGCGGTGGGGTTTAGGTCTGGACTTTGACCGGGCCTCATGAGGACGTTACCTTTGTCCTCCTCCAGCCAGTGTGTGGTCAGGTCAGCTGTGTGCTTCGGGTCAGTGTCATGTTGAAAGGTGAATCTTCTTCCCATCTTCAACTTTCTGGCTGATGAAAGCAGTTTTCCTTCAAGAACTGGACGATATTCTGCTCCATTTGTCCTTCTACCCTAACGAGAGCCATAGGACCCTTCCCCCACCAGGATGCTGCCACCTCCATGCTCTATAGGTATGGTGTTTAGGATGGTGAGCTGTGATGGATTTAAGCGGGGTGTGCCGTTTGGTGTTGAGGCCAAATAGTTCAGTTTGGTCTCATCTGACCATGAGACCTTCATCCAGTTGGCATCAAAATCTTCAAGGTGCATCCTGGAAAAACTCACATTATCCTGTTCAGATGGCCTCCATTAAGACCCCTCTCACAGGGGGTTAAAAATGTCTACAAATCATAAAAAAATGCATGAAATTTGCTTCAGAAATTTTGACAACTAGGTTAATATTCTGGTATGTAATGACTCAAGCAATGAAATAAGGACTACTTGATTTTTAAAGTTAAAGATTATTCAGCATTTAAATTTAACATGAAAGGTGCTAATGACAAAGTTATAAAATACAGTTTTTATGGAATGACCAAAAGCATTTGCAGCTCGTTGAAAGGAATAAGAAACTGCTGGCTTGATGTCCACACTTCTTAGTACCTACACCTCCAGCAGGTCCCTGAGGTCCAGTGACCAAAGCCTACTGGTTGTGCAGCACCAGGCTAAAGGTCAAAGGTGACAGATCATTTGCTGCTGTGGCCCCCAGACTCTGGACCTCTCTCCCCCTGAGCCTGAGACCAGTGGACTCAGTGGTCTCCTTTAAAAAGCAGCTGAAGACTCACTTGTTCAAGCTGGCTTTTGTATGACCTTCTTCACCTCTCTCTCTCTATTCTGCTCTCCCCACCTATTCCACCTTCCTCAGGATCCACTGATTTCCCTCTTTCCTGTTCACTCTCTTGCTTTCTTAACATTTTTTTAATCACAATTGTCTAATTTTTGCTCATTTTAAATATATTTTTAACCATTTTCTAAATTCTTTTTTACTTTTTTTTGTGAAGCGCCTCGTGATTTCTATCTTGAGAGGCGCTATAGAAATGATACTTTCTTCTTCTTCTTCTTCTTCTTCTTCTGAAGTGCAATCATCATACATTTGAACTGAATGAAGTTATGTTCAACTGAAATGTGTTTGCTGATCCAAAAAGTCTAAGTGAAACAGTAAACAGAGAAGACATCTGTAAGAGGACAAATACTTTTACACAGCTCTGCCTTTACAAGGCCTTTTCCTATCAAAATATGACAAAAAATGTCTTTGATCCTGATTTACAATTTTGGAAAAGTAGCACAAATGACAAGTTACAGTAATTTTGTTCTGAAATTCTTACTATGCAAATTTTTTACTTGTATTTATAGGTCCATGTGGACACATTTTAACTTTTAACCGGTGGTGTGTGGACATTTTCACATTGTGGGGACATTTGGCTGGTCCACACAATGACAAAATACCCTAAAATGTGGTTTTAGTGATATGGTGTGAATGAACTTTAGTTCAGGTAAGGGTTAGGAATAGAACAGCATTAGTTATGGATGGGATTGGGGTTTGGGTAAGGCACAGTTCAGTCACAGAAATGAAAAAATAAAATGAATGGAGGTCAATGGAGGGTCCAAACGTGTGTGTGTGTGTGTGTGTGTGTGTGTGTGTGTGTGTGTGTGTGTGCGTGCGTGCGTGCGTGCGTGCGTGTGTGTGTGTGTGTGTGTGTGTGTGTGTGTGTGTGTGTGTGTGTGTGTGTGTGTGTGTGTGTGTGCGTGTGTGTGTGTGTGTGTGTGTGTGTGTGTGTGTGTGTGTGTGTGTGTGTGTGTGTGTGTGTGTTTTAAACTATGGTTGTGAGTTTTGACTCTGATCAGAAAAATACATCAAAGCAGTTCAGAACAACCTTAGATAAAATCTGTGAATCTGATTTTTTCACAGCCCGGCTGCTAGGGGGCGGTAGAGTGCACATGACAGTAAATCAATAACCATAATCCACTCACATTGCTTTGCTTTCTGCAACTACCATTAACTTTCCATTAATAAATGTAAGCAGTGGCTGATTTTTGCATCAGCTTTAATTCCCCAAAACGGATCATTTTCTGTTTCTAACTCAGTCCGGGCCTTTGTCTTTGAATATAATGAGCCCTGCAAGAACCTTCGTGTCCAACATACCGGTAAGTGATAATAAGGAACACTCACCTTCACACACACACACACACACACACACACACACACACACACACACACACACACACACACACACACACACACACACACACACACACACACACACACACACACACACACACACACACACACACACACACACACACGCGCGTTCTCCTCTGTGTGTGACATCACTGCAGGCTGCCTCCTCTCCTCCCCCCCTTTCCCAAAGCTGGCCTGCATGTCCTCCCTGCACTGACCTCACTAGCCTTTGTTGGGAAACAAAGAATGTTCAGGCATCTGTTTTCAGGAAAAATAAAGGTGCAAAAGCAGAGAGGAGGAGGAGGGCCAAAGCTGAGCCTGACTAACCTGATCAGAGAGAGCCAGTAACAATCTGTACATGCAGTTACTACTTACATATTTAGAGTTAGTTGTGTCCTGCAGAGCCGGTTTCATTTATCTTCTTGTTCTTGCACATAATTCTGTGCACTTTACCCTTTGTCTTCTAAGTCGTGTTGTAAGGTGGAGCCAGTATTTCCTGTATTTCCTGCTCGGTCAGCCAAAAGACAAAATGATCTCTCCTGGAGCTTATTTCACTCTTAGGTAACCTGTTTTTTTTTTCTCACAAGATGCTTTGGTAACCCTTCTGTTCTTAGGTGCTCTCAGATCTCTTTGTTTATTTACCTGAACCCAAACCCCAAAACGGATCTTTGTATGAGTAAATAATGCATAAAGACATGACGTCACAATGTCCCATTAGTGTTGATAAATAAGTAAAGAGAAAAAAAGGATGAAGCTGCTGAAACGAGAGAGTGAGAGATGTTTTATGGGTTTTCTGGGACGTTCCAGAGCTTTTCTTTACTTTCTAAACGACATAAGAGTTTATTAAGTCTTCCAGATTCAAACAAGTATGGTTAGGTGTGTGAGGGTGTTTTGTTCTAAATTAAATACTTAAAATAAATTCAGTGCTGCCCTTAGATGTTTAAATTGTGTTCATCTGAACAGAAGAGCTCTTGTTTTTTTTAGGAAGGACGTGTGATTTCTAATCACAATAGATGCGTTCCTATCAGGGAGTGAACGGGTTAAGTCTGACTCTGCACCGCACTGAACACACCTCCTCTTCTCCATCCATTTTTTTAAACTGCGTGTGTTTTCAGTAGGGGACCGTGCCATCTGCAGACCCAGTCTTCTTGCTTTACGCACACAACACAACTTTTAAAAACAAGTCTCCATCTTTCATTTGGAAATATTTCATAGCGCATACGGTTTTTATGTGGATGCTTTTCTGGTCTAATCGGAGCTTCAGACATTTTCACTAGTAGTTTCCTGTCAGACAGCTCGGGGCTGTGTGGAGAGGCGGGGACGTTTCTCATTCCACCTAAATCCGCCCCGAGCTCGGGACCCCACGGACGCGCCATGACATGAAGGTAAGAGGGGGAATGAGAGCAGCATAACCAGGGGTTTGATCTGCTGTTGTGTATTTTCGTTTCGGTTTGAACTTTTAAAGTGGGAAACAAAGCTGAGTCACCCTCATGTACTTCATCTAGGTGGGTCGTCCCACTTGACGCAAAAATGGCACCAGCCGTGCGTCCTGGGTCGGTCAGAAAGGACGCGTACTGTCAGGGAATAAGTTACATTTAACTTCTAGTTTTCATAACTGCGTCTGACAGATTGGGCCTAACTCATATGGGAACTAATTAATGATGGCTGGTTCACAAAACAGAGTGAAAACTCCAAATAAGATATTGAAGAACTTCAGGAATTCCGATAAATTCTGTTTCAATAAGGCTGTTATGGAAATTGTTTGGAAAAAGCCACAATTTTTGTGCACGTGACACCGTTGTTGTTACTGTTTTAAAAGGTAAACCTATCTCTTTGAGTTTCTGTGGCAAAATTAGATCGACGTCTGACATTTTCAGCCACTTGAGATCTTTGATCTGACTGTTAAAGCTGGTGTTGTATTCACTAGGAGTTGTGAACCAACAGTCTAAGGACAAAGCTCATTTTAACTCAGGTTTGAGGTTGTCTTTAGCGTCATGCAGAGTTCCTGAGTAATGACCTGGGCCTGTACAAACATCCCGAGTCTGCCTCTCACTGGAACTCCACAGCATCAGGAACAGCCGGTCACATGTCCGGTTCAGCGTCATCCTGTATTCATCCCTCCCCAACGCATCTGCCTTTTAAAATAAAGCATGCCTGCTGCTGTTTACATTTGAGAAAAAGAGGTCGGACACCAAAAGTCAAATGTTCAAGGTTACAAACCTGACATGGGTATTTAAAGGTTGTGATTGTGTAATCGGGTCAGGACCGCCTTTTCAGGGAAAGTAAATTCTGGAAAAACACAAAATAACTTCAAATTTGATCTGACTCGAGTTACAAGCGCACCCTGCCACAGTGAAACAACTCTAAACTCACAAACTAAGTAGCTATTTAAACATTTACACCATCATTCGTTCTGTGTCTGGGTGAAGACATCTGTGGTTCATGTTCAGCAGAAGTACAGGTGATAGAACATTATTAGAGGAATCCCAGCTTTATCTCCAACTGAACTGTTGTAACAAATCTGCTGGAATAACCATAAGATGTGGACTTTATGACAACACAGAGGTCATAAATGAACTTTTTCTTGAATTGATGTTAAAAATTTTAGATTAAAAATTTTAAGAAACGTTAAATCAGTAACCAGAAGGTTGCAGGTTTGATCCCAGCTCCGACCAGAGAATTCTGCTGTTGTGTCCTTGGGCAAGACACTTAACCCCCCTTGCCTGCTGGTGGTGGTCGGAGGGACCGATGTCGCCAGTGCTCGGCAACCTCGCCTCGGTCAGTGCGCCCCAGGGCAGCTGTGGCTACGTTGTAGCTCATCACCATCAGTGTATGAATTTATGAATGATTGATTGTGTTGTGAAGCACCTTGGGGGGGGGGGGGGGGGGGGTAGTAGAACCCTGAGAAAGCGCTATACAAATACAGGCCATTTACCATTTAAATGTATTTGTTTTTAAAATACAAGCTGTTGTGATTAGTTTGCTTGTCTGTTCAGTCAGATGTAATCTTTGTTTTTCCAAACTGAGGTTGTTCAAATACTCACCTAAACCAGATATAACTGATCATTTCTACTGAAGCTCTCTTCAAAGGACTGTGAAAGGTGTTGAGCTGCTGTTCATTAGATTGTTTGACTGTTGAGGCTAAAGATACTGATAATAGAATGAGATCCTCTGAAGGTCTGATCTCCATTTTTGTTGTTTTTCCCAGCAGGACCAAACATCTGGACATCACTGAAGTTACCTTTTCTTGCTGAACTGAACAAGCCACCTGGTCCAGGACAGCAAGTGAGCTGACCTGCAGTTTGAATTAGGTTTGCTACGTGTGAAACATCGCCACCATCATGCAGAGCTCATCGCTCCGCCGTCAGATGAAAAACATGGTGAACAACTACACAGAGGCTGAGGTCAAAGTTCGAGAGGCCACCTCCAATGACCACTGGGGACCACCTAGTGGTCTCATGGCAGAAATCTCAGACTTGACTTACAACGTGGTGACCTTTTCTGAGGTGATGGGTATCATCTGGAAGAGGCTGAACGATCATGGCAAAAACTGGCGTCACGTTTACAAAGCACTCACACTGCTGGATTTTCTGGTCAAAACGGGCTCAGAGCGTGTGCCCAAAGCATGCCGGGACAACATATACGCCATTCAGACGCTTAAAGACTTCCAGTACTTGGATCGAGACGGACGTGACCAAGGTGTCAATGTTCGGGAGAAGGCTAAACAACTGGTGTCTTTGTTGAAGGACGAGGAGAAGCTGAAGAGGGAGAGGAGCCACGCTCTGAGGAACAAGTCCCGTGTAGGAGCGTCCGGCAGCAGCAGCACCACCTCTGTCTCATATACGTCTTCTTCATACACGACTCGCATCAGTGGGGAGGACTTCAGCAGGTGTAGAGGCTCACCATCATCAGCGCCATCCTATTTCATGAGTAAGTAAAGTGGAACAATTA